CCTGATCAGCCTCGTGTTACTTGCTGCTTTGCATGCCCTTTTCAGCCCTTGAGCATGAAGTGAGGAGCTGTAGTCTTATATTGCAGATAATGCTTCGACAGGATGGATAAGAACAAGCAAGTGTCGCGCGACACTAAGAGACTAAGAACAAGTAGTCCGCCACCACGTGAGCCGGGATTAATCGATATGACTCGACATTACCATTCATCCTGATAAGTAGATACCACCTGTCTATATACGAGGATTCATGTACTACGCCCGTGACCTTCGCTAGTGACCAATTTGTGGACAATCCACACATACAAAGTGGACCTGACTAAGCTACGCCTGTTCTCACGTTTTTAGTCCGCCTTGCGTAGGCTTCAAGGAAGTCAAGGAGGGTCTGAAAAACGGAAATAAGAAGTGTACCATGAGGCTTAGAGAGACTCGTCAGTCTCAGGTTCACATTCTTGTTGATCTTGCGCGTGCTCCTATAGGAGGACCAGCCATCTGCCAACATAGTGTTTCGAGTGGAGATGGGGTAGGTTGTTCTTGAAATGCGCGTTTGTAAAGCAGTCGGGGAAAGTGACAACGGAACCAAGACAGCCCAGGGAAGAGTGAGAAGGGTATTATGCCGACAAAATTCTATATACATGATTCTTTGAAGAGGGCAAACGTCATAAAAATACATTGAAGATATGGTACACATGGCGAACAATGAAACGCCATGATGAAAGTCATCAGGTCAGAGGTGTTGGGAAGTCATGTTTGGCGCAGTCTCGAGGTCTTGGTATCTGCAGATTTAAGCAGATGCAGCGGCATCTTCGGCATGTTCGGGTCCCTCCTCCGCTACGGTCATGGAAAGCTTTCGCATGTCCCAGCCATCGGACTCTATCCAATCTTTCTTCTCGCCTAGCAGGCAGACAGATCGCTGGGAGCCATCAATCAGAAAGGACTGTGCTGCCTCGTTGACATCATTTGCGGTGACATCAAGAACCTGTTCTCTCCAGCGCTGGTCCATTTCGTGGGTCACACCGCTCATGAAGTACCTTGCACCTTCCTCGTCGACGCTCATCGGGGCGTCGAGGCCTTGGAAGATACCCAGCTTAGCCTCGTTGAGCTCCCGCTCCGACCAAGCCCGGTCTCTGGCGAAAATACCGCTGTTTTGGAACACCTTCAGGGTGTTGGTAGGGTTCGGATCCCGGTAGCTGGTAAAGGCAAACATTCCCTTGACTGGGCCGTTGCTGGCTCCTGCACCGTAGGCACCCCCCTTTTCACGAATCTCCGGATGGAGGTAATTATGCGTCAGGAGTTGAGAAAGAACACTAAGCTTGGCGCTAGAGGAGTGCACAAATGGAACAGTGTGCATGGCTAGGCCTGAATAGTACACCTTGTATGGCATGTCGAAGAACGTTTTGATCAACTTGGAATCCCTCACTGGGGAGTCAAAGGCCGCTGTGGGCGAGCGAACCTGTGGCAAACCGGCGAACCACTTCTGCAGCACAGATTCATTCTGGCCTGCGCTCTCTGGCTCGCAAACCATGCGGACACGAAGACCGGACGACCTAGAGATGGCGAAAGCTTGGATTGTGCGGAGCTTCTCGATCAACTCTGCCAAACGCTCGGGCGACGTTTCCGCGTCCCGCAAGAGGTTGGCTGTTGCCTGCAGTTGTGCGAGACCGGACTGCTGCTCTTGTACCCAGAAACTGCGCGAGAGGTTTGCCGCAGCCGCATTCAGAGCGAAACGGTGGCCCGTTCCTGCAACGGCATCCAGGGCACCATTGGTTGTCATCCGGAGCAACTCTTGAATCATTGCGGGTGCACTAGGACTTGTGAAGTCGGTTTCGGTCACAAGGGTGGTCAGTATCTGCAACATGTCGGGGATGTTCTTGTCCAGAGCAGATCCAGAGAATTGAAGACCTTCATTGAATTTCCCAAGCTCCGTCGGAGAAGCTGTGTGGAACGTGGAGGTGGAGATACCTCCAGTCTTCAGTTTGATCAAATCTTCCCATTGCTCCATCGACCGATTCGCGGTACCAAGACGCATGATACAGTCGTTAAACAGTGGCATCAGCAGCCGAAGGTCATCAGGGAGGCCATCGAATGTGTTCAAAGCCTGGAAATAGGTCAAACCATTTGTAGGGGCTTCCCGCCAAAGAACATCCACGCCGTCGACCTTGGACCCCCGAACGGGCTTGCGTTCCTTCTCGCGCGAGATGTCAGACACACGAAGAGAGGGTAAGCAGCTCAGATCAGCGTTCTGTGCCTTTTCTTGAACCTCTAGCAGCTGAAGTTCCTCCGCCTTTAGCTGGGCAATAGCCTTCTCCATAGACCCATGCTGTTCAGCGAGTTGACTGAGCTTTGTCTCCTTCCGCACCAATTCTTGGTCGTCAAGCTCCTTGTTGAACGTAGGTGTGCCAACCATCGTGAATGTCAGACAGTTATCATTCATAAGATACTTCTGCATCAACGACTCCAGGTAGCCGCCCTGCGCATATCTGCTCTTGAACTCATCAATCACTTCATTCCAAGCTAGCTCTTTCATGGGATTAGATCCATTGAACCAAGAGGAAATCGTCTTCTCCATGACACCAATGCCAAAGTTTGACGTTTTGTGCCTAAGGGCAAGTTCAAGCTGGTGAAGGATACCTTGGACCTTCTCATCACTGAATCCAGTAGTGAACGATTCCTCAAAGACAGTCTGGATAGCAGTCTTGACCTGAGAAGCCGATTCTTCACTGACACCGGTTACACCGACGGAAAACACCGGCACGCGGCCGGACGTATCGAGTCCTGTGTTGGGACTAAAGGAAGAGCCAAGGCCACTCTCAATCAAAGCCCGATACATAGGTGAGCCATAACCATCCAGGAGCAGGGAAGACACAATCCCAGCCGAGAAAGCCTCCACAACATCAGTCGAATCTCCCATGTACCACGATGTTGACGTCTTGTGCTGCTTGTCTTCACCAGCGAATGTGTCGATAGGGCCTGGGACGGTCACACTCTTAGGACCCTGGCTAAGATCAATAGGCTGTTTGATAGACGTATCCGCTTCGCCCCTTTGGAATCCATCCAAAACCTTGCCGATTTGCTCGAGATGGTCAGTCAAAGGCATATCACCATAAGTGAAGATTTTAGCATTGCTGGGGTGGTAGTTGCGCTTGGAGAAATCGACCAGTTGCTTGTGCGTCAAGTCGGTGATGTACTGGGGATCACCACCCGAGTTGTTCAGTGCCGGGATAATGCTTTCTTTATATTTGATATAATAGAGATAGTTTGCGTCCGAAATCTGTCCCTTCATCTCGTTGTATACAACGCCCTTGAAGAGGATGTCCTCGGGGTTGTGAGCCGTCTGAACCTCGATAGCACGGGGGTCTTCTGGTCCCAACCGCCAACCCTCCTGCCTGAAATCCTCCTCCTTAAGCAGAGGGTGGAAGGTGGCGTCCAGGTACACTGAGAGCAGGTTCCGGAAGTCCTGCTGGTTCGTGGTAGCGAAAGGATATGTGGTGTGATCGGCGGAGGTAAATGCATTCATGAAGTTCGACAGTGAGCGGGGAAGCATCTTGAAGAAAGGATCGCGGATAGGATATCTGAAGTGTGGAATATGTAAGCCATCGTTCTAATGCTCACACGGGTCTAAAGGTACTTACTTCTCGCTACCACAGAGCGTGGTATGCTCTAGGATATGGGGGACACCAGTAGCATCCGGTGGATTGGTCTTGAAGCCAATTCCAAACACATTGTTCTTGTCTTCCCTGGCCACGTGGAGGTAGTCCGCGTCGGTCTTATCATGCGTTAGCCGGACGGCCGTCAGGTGTAACTCCGGTACATGTTTCTTTTCTTGAACGGTGAAGCCGTGGATCTTGTCCCCAATTCCAGGAAAGTTGTCTAGATTTGTCACAGTTGAAGCAGACCTTCTGATCTGACCCCAGCGAAGCAAAGTGTTTCCAGAACCCAGCAGACGTCCGTTGGCGGACTTCGGTAAAGCAGGCATGAGGCCTCTGCTCGCCCCAAGAGTTGAACGCAACATGATGGCTCGTTGTAGAAACTGCAATTCGCGCGCAGCGTTTTTATCACAGGTTACCGCACGGCTGACGTACTCTAGCGAGTCCGCGGCAGCTTCTTTGCGTACCGAACGTTGTCGGGGGGCCGTGAACCGGACAGACCGGGCAGCTCGGAGATGAGTGCGAAGATCTGGGATGCGCAAGTATGAACGATTGTACTCTGCTGCTAGACAAATCTTGCAGACCAAGGTATTGGAACAAATGAATGCCCCAGAGAAGTAGAAAAGGGGATAGAAATACAGAAAGAGAAAGATAGGAAAGAAGTGGAAAAGTGGTTGGAGTGTTTGAAAGTAGCTCCGTCGGCGCGACTCAATTGCTTAGAAAGACAGGCGGGCAGAAAGCGACGGACGGCGCCAAGAGAAGTTTTCGAAAGAGGCTAGTGCAGGTCAAGTGCGCATCCCCCCCTCTTACGACTATTCCATCCAATCTTCCCCGGCAAGTTCCTCGAAGAGTGACCCCGTTCGTCTGTCGACTCTCCTCGCAGTCGACACTCTCGCCCAATACCTTTCCTTTCGTTTCGTTCCGTTCCGCCTCAAAGGCACACGCACACGCACGCCTTCGCTGTCGGATCCCGACGCCTCCCGCAAGTGAGCTTCCGGTTGGCTTTGCAGGACTTGAATTCTAGTCTAGTCAACCTTCGTGGGTTCCCGTTACCTCCGACTTCTGCAATTATAGGAAGAGGCCACCGAGGTTCTCCACTAGACTCGCCGGGTGGATACGAGTTGCCTTCAACCATAACACCTCCTACCGACTATTGTTCGCTTTGCCGCCGCGAAGAGTTTCCCTTGTTGTCCTGTCCTCGCGGCTATCGGAGGAAGTGACGCATTCGTCCCTGCCATCTTCCGTCAAACCGTTTCAACCTCGCAATTTTCACCGCTGAGGATTGGCCACGCGACCACCCTCAACAGCATCACAACCGCATAGCTTGCCCAATATCCTTACGACAAACGGCGAGCCATGTCGTCCGCGGCCATGTCCAAGAAAAAGCAGGGGAAGAAGGTTGCAGATCCGAATGAGACCTCGAAGCTGCTGGCCGCCAAAATCTCGCAGCTGGAGCAAGATGCTGCGGGAGAGAAGGATCAAGAGGCCGAGATTGGTGCGTGCACCCGCTGATTTCTACGCCTGACGCATCGATCACGCCATTGAATCTGGTGGACAAAATGTGAATGAATCTGGTTGCTGATACGTCCACAGAGCGCGAGGTCAAGAAAGCCACGAGAGATCTCAACCAACTTCTCAACAACATCGAATCCCCGATGACGCGGCTCGAGACTGTGCACAAGAAATACACCGAACTTCTGGCCGACATGAAGAAGCTGGATCGCGATTATGCCAAAAGCAAGAAGCGGGCCGACCAACTCCAAAAGGACCAGGACAAGGGCAAATCGGAATTGAACAAGACCGTCACCATGAAAGACAAACTCGAGAAGCTGTGCAGAGAGCTCACAAAGGAAAATAAAAAAGTGAAGGTGGGTAGCTACAACTCGCCAGCATCGCATTTCCGAGTCGCACAATGCAGAACCAGGGCTAAGGGAAACCGTGCACGCAATAGGACGAAAACAAGAAGCTCGAAGAAACCGAGAAGAAAGCACGGCTGATCGTCAACGAACGCCTCGACTCGCTTCTGTACGATATTCAAGACGTCATGGCTGCCAAAGGAAATCCCCGCAATGAGAAAGTGGATATCGATTTGGACGAAGCGTGAGTTGTTCTTCCCCAGTCTGTCTATTGAGCTGGGATGTTAAGCCCTCTTCACACCACAGTCTGCGTGCGAAGATCAAGACAATCGGCGAGAAGTTCGAAATGCGTGAACTACACTACAAGGCATTGTTACGTAGTAAGGACGCAGAGATACAATGTCTTACCGCCAAGTACGAGGAACAGCGGCGAGCAGCGGAGAACGAAGCCGCCCGCTGTCGGGCATTGAGTTCCCAGGTGTCAACATTCTCGCATACCGAGGCGGAGTTGCGCAGCCAGCTCAACATCTACGTCGAAAAGTTCAAACAGGTATGGCTTGATGCTTGATGGCTGTTCCAGCCAAGCCTCTATTTTGACCGCTGGTAGTAATAATATGGCAGGTGGAGGATACGCTGAACAACAGCAACGAGCTTTTCCTTACGTTTCGCAAAGAGATGGAAGAGATGTCCAAGAAAACTAAACGGTTAGAAAAGGAAAATCTCACTCTCACGCGCAAGCACGATCAGACGAATCGCAACATACTGGAGATGGCCGAGGAGCGCACAAGAAACCATGAGGAGCTGGAAAAATGGCGGAAGAAAAGCCACCACCTCGAAGCGCTCTGCCGACGAATGCAAGCCCAAGGGCGGGGGCAAGGTCTTGCGGCGGATCTGGAAGGCGATGACGAGGGCACGGAGAGCGAGTACGACGAGGATTACGAAGACGAAGAAGACGATGAGGGAATTAGCGATGACGATTACGAACTGGAAAGCCGGGACGGCGACCTGAACGGAGACCGCAACGTTGCTCAGCAGCCCGAGAAGCCTGTGTTCGGACCCCCTCCGCCACCTAATCTACTGGAAGCGCGAGCCAACGGAAATAAGGCGATGATCAACGGATGTCACTAATACCTTTTTTTCCGCGCAGAAGTTGTTTTCGAATATGGTCTTTTGGGCTTGTTCTTGATATCAAATGGCAAAGGGATTTCCTGGCGGCACTAACGCCACTGCCGTCAGTCTGAGGGTGGGTCATGGGGCTGATGAGCTGACAATGATACACTTTCTGAGCGCTATGAGTCGACGCAAACAATGTCAATGCTGGCCTCTTCATCTAGGATGCCATCGCTGCTCGATGCAACACTTGTAGTCGCACCAGGTGTTGCAAAGAGAATCGGTGCTAAGGCTCCTCATCCACAACCCCGTTAAGGCCTTTGAATTGCAGTAAGCACTGTCGGAGCCATGGGCCCTTTGCGAGTTGCAATCCTTTGACGTTTTGTTCATTTTTATTTCTGTTCGTGTACTTGTACATGCTAGATCACCAGCATCCGGACGTACTTATTACGTTACCATGAGAAAATACCACACAAAGTCATGTCATGCCAACTACTACCGAGATTCCCATCCAAAACCTCAAAGCCTACTGGCTGGACCTTGTATGTAGGAGCTCCCCCTCTTCAGCGTATCGACAGCTTGCTGGACCATCTCCTTGACAATCTCAGCGGCGGGCTTGACACTCGCAACATTAGCAGCCACATCACCCATCAGATACGGTAAGTCGACATCCTTATCGTTCTTGAGGTCATACTCCATGGGGACAATGCCCTGGGCCGTCAAGCGAGCAATCTCCTCCGGCCGCCTTTCCCAGTCCTTCACGTACTCGTTCGGCAACACCCGCAGCGGCCGCCCCGACACGACAAGGGTGCGCATGGTATCCCCATAGGTGGCGCCCACGACGGCCTCCTTATGCAGCCGACTGGCCCCGCTCTCCTCGGACGCCACAAAGCGCGTCCCGACCCAAACGCCCGCGGCCCCCAGCATCAACGCCGCCGCCAGACTGCGGCCATCGTTCACGCCGCCCGCCGCGACGACCAGGGGGCGCTGCCCCGTCAGCCGACTCCGGTACCGCTGCGCGACATCCACGACGGCCGGGATGAGCACCGAGAAGGGGATGTCGCCCGTGTGCCCGCCGCCCTCGCCGCCCTGCGCGCACACGATGTCCACCCCCAGCCGCAGCGCCTTCTCGGCGTGCTTCGGCGCCCCGACCATGTTCATGACCAGGATGCCCGCGTCGTGCAGCCGCGTGATGACGTGCGCCGGCGGCACGCCCACCGCCGACACGAACAGCTTCGCCCCCTGCGCGATCACCACGTCGATCAGCGCGTCCAGCTGCCCGTGCGTGTAGTCGTGGTTCGTCGCGCGCGCCCCGCCGCCCACCTGCGGCAGCGCCAGGTCCACCCCGAACGGGAGCGAGGGGTCGCGCAGCAGGGACTTGAGCTCCGTTAGCATCTCCGAGAGCTGCGAGGGCGTGTAGCCGAGTCCCCCGACGGTACCTAGTCCGCCTGCGTTGGAGACGGCGGCGGCCAGCGGCGCGCTGGAGGCCCGCGCCATCCCTGCTAGGAGGATGGGGTGTTGGATTTTGAGGAGGGTGCAGAGCGGGGTTTGGAGGGACATGATTGCTGTTTTGTTGGTTTCCTGGGTGGGAATTGGATGTGGTTGGTTGGTGGTAGCTGGCCTTTTTGTTTGGTTGTGGTGTTGGTTAGTGATGGTATGGGGGTTGTTGGTGGTGGTGGTGGTGGGCTTGGAGGTATAGTAGTAGCACTCGCTGCTTGCTGGTCGTGTAAGGTGAGATCTAGGGGTTTCTCAATATGTATTGACGAGGTGACACTGAGATTGAGATGGACTGTAGAAACATTGATGCATTGCTCATGGCCCATGGCGACATTTCAGTGCCCCGGGTTTTATCGGTGAGGTGAGAACTCCCCAGAACCCTCTGATCGACGCTGTGCCTGAGCAAATGCGGGGAAGCTCCCGACCGGACCGAGGCACCATCCATCACAAGTTCGCTGCTCGGCTTATATGCTGTTCTTATGCTCTGCTCTTATGCTCTTATGCTATCATCTCGCATGTTGCCTTTCTGCTGGACTACACCTTACTGGCTGTGTTAAGCTCGGTAGCTGCATGATGCAGCTATTCCCGATCTAGGAAAGAGGACCCAAGCTATACAATCCAAATAATCCATCCTTATTGACAGTGAAATGCGAAGTTTGAGAAACACTAGTTAAAAAAACAACAGCCTGCGCGCAGCGCATCGTGCTCATGAAACCCTTTTTACAAAATGAAAAGACACAAGACGATCGACAGTACAACAAGACTTGATTCCAATGTCGTACTCCTTCCCGCCATCGCCGTCTGTGTTGCTTGAAGCACGACCTGGTTCTTCGTCGCTGTGCCCACCAAGACGATCACATTCTTCTCCGAGCTACTCAGGCACAATAAGTCAGTGATGTGTTCTTTCATAGTATTCGAGATGGCTTCAGTACGCAGCACTTACCCTGTATCCCCGGTGCCTCCATTCTCGCTCAACTTCTGAGAGAAGGCAGTCGCACCGGCCGGGATGGTGGTTGTCGTGGTCGGTCGATGAACAGGCCCGGCAGGAGGCTGATACCCTACCGCACCTAGCGGTGCTGTCGCAAGCGAGGCTGGCAGGCTTCTGCGCAGGAGGTTTGATGGTGACTCGTGCAGGAAAATTCCAGGATAAGCTGAGATGAGAGCGCTGGCGAAGAGGCTGATAGCCATGAAGTTGCGCAATAAATAAGTGATTAGAAGCGAGACCCTCATCTTCGGGGCACCTAGTGATGACAGGTTTGATTCGAGTTAACGCGATGTCAAGGATAAGGAGCAGAGGGTCAGTCTACTATCGACGAGTGATCGATAGCCCGCGACGCGGAGGAGGGGCATCGAATGTCTATATGTAGGCGATTAAATTCCAGCTTGGGAAGATCAAGCATGCGAGGTATGTTATGTCTGAGATGGCATGGCAAGAGCTCGGTACTTTATTACTTGGTTGACTCTGGGCCGGTCATGTAGAGCTCCTTCCTGGATACCACAGACAGGTGGCCTGGAATGGGAGCATGGTTCAAAGATCATTTCAAGCCCCCCTAGCCAGGCCAGAACTACCATGGCCGACAAGGTCATGGCAAGAATGAGAGAGAGAGAGAGAGAGAGAGAGAGAGAGAGAGAGAGATCTCATCATAATGTCGGCCTCCAGGCGTGAACGAAGCCCTGTTGAGGGGTGCGAACATGCCAGGTGAAGCCGGGAATGCTCTCAAGGCACGCCCTATCTTCACGCCAACGCGTGATTCCTGTGGCATTCTGACACAAAATTAGGTATGAGCATAAAATGATCTTTCCACGACTGCTCCGTCGATGTCAGCGAAGTGTGGCATCGCTACCCTGAGTGCTTGATCATTCGTGACATGCACCGAAGTATTCAAGTGGCTGGAAGCATATTGAGGGTTGTTTCAAGATGACGTCCGTGGATGAAGATTTTGAACTTGGCGAAGAATATTTTCATGAGTACTTATGCAAACTAAGAGTATTCAATACTGGATGCAGTATGAACGGTTGTCAGTAGGAAAGCAACGGTTTGGAGCTACTAACAATACTCACAGTATGTACTTCGTTTCTCTGCCGAGTGTGATGGGGACCAACCCCAAAGCGGGACTGTAATTACCGAACGCCAAAAGACGCGTGGTTCGCGTTGGCCGACGGACAGACCCGAATACAATCAATACACCGCAGCTGCCTCCGTCCGCGGCGTCAAACAACTCCCCAACTCGCCTTTGCAGCTGCTATCTTTGCGGTTTCTATGCGTCACACATACAGGCTTCGAAATGACGCCCAATACTTCGGAGAACCAGTTTCTTTGCGCTCCAAGGTTCGCTTGTCTGCACATTACATTAATGATTAACGATATCACTGACACCTTGTCCTGATAGCGATCAGGACTTCGAGCCCGTCTATCGTGAACCCTCCTACTATAATCCTCTAGATACATTCCGACTGCCCAGTGGACAAGACCGACACTACCAGCAACAATATGGCGATATGTATTTCTTGCGACTGGCCAAGTTGAAGCCTGCCGTCGAAGAAATTGCCGTGGAGGCGTGGGAAGGATTCAGCGTCAGTACAACAATACCGTGCTCATGGTTGAGCAAATTTCTGATACTGGGATTTGCTCAACCGATCCAACCTGAGAGTAAGCTGCTAACCGCGCTTTCGCTCACAGATCGCGGGAGAAAATGCACGTCGTGTGGAAAGAGTGCTAGATGTACGACAGGGAGAGCTCTGCTGGGTTGCAGGAACGATTTACATGGATATGCCTCTGAAGCCTAACATTTTGGATGATTTGACCAAGGAGGTAAGGAATTTCCGGCCAACCCATATGCGTGCGGGTCCTTCAACTGACTTCCCATCGAAAGAACTACACTCTCGCCCCGCCTCCTCGCCCGACGTATCAAGACCCCTCCCACCCCGAATTGACACAAATCATGCTGGAAGATGAATCTGGACGACTGCGTCTGACGGGCAACTCGCTCAGTTCCACACAGCTTGCGACCGGCGCTATTATTGCGGTCCTGGGAACGGAGAATGCCAATGGCGATTTCGAGGTCATTGACATCAAGGTGCCTGATTTGCCTCGACAGCCTCCTCGCTGGGAGAGGGATGAGGTGGATGCAGCACAGAAAGAGTCTAGCAAGGGCAAGATTGCATTCATTAGCGGTCTCAGCATCACAGGCACATCGAGTGATACTCTCGCATTAGAACTCTTGACAGACTATCTCCTGGGCTATGCAGGAACCTCTTCGACAGAACAGGACGATAACTCACCACCGAACCCCTCTGCGATAACGAGACTGGTCATTGCTGGAAACTCAATCGGTACCAATATGACTACTGATGCTAGTGCCGAAGATGCAGCCGCTGCGAAGAAGAAAGCCGGCACCAAAAAGTACGGATACGACGCTTCCGCATACAATGCATCGCCAATCACGCAGCTAGACTCCTTTCTGGCAGAAATTCTACCCAGCATACCTGTGACTTTGATGCCCGGTGATACGGATCCCGCCAATTTCTCTCTCCCACAACAAGGCATCCACCGTGCCATGTTCCCAAGAGCCAGAGCATATTGCGCTCCGCCACCAGCTGGAGATGAGAAGCAGGAACCCGGCTGGTTTGACAGTGTGACGAATCCATGGGAAGGCGATGTTGAAGGGTGGCGTCTGTGGGGCAGCAGCGGTCAAAATGTGGATGACGTCCTTCGTTATCTGAATTTCTCAGATCGTGACGGAAACGCCGACTCTACGGATGGTGATGTTGAGGCACGGGTACGGATAATGGAGGCCATGTTGCGTTGGAGGTGTGGAGTGCCAACCGCGCCTGACACTATATGTAAGCTCAACTTATCGTTTGACGTGTCGCAAGATCGAGCTAACCTGATTGCAACAGGGTCGTATCCTTTCCAAACGGATGATCCTTTTGTCATCGAAACCTGCCCCCATATCTTCTTTGCCGGCAACCAACCGCGTTTCAAGACTGCGGTTATTGAGGGCGATATGCCGCTCAAATTAAATGGCGCAGACACAGAGATGACAGGCACCGAGGACAATGTTTCCGGGCAGCGGGTTCGTCTTCTATCGATCCCCAAATTCAGAGAGACTGGCGAACTAGTCTTGGTTGATGTCGAAACACTAGAGATCGAAGTGGTCAAGTTTGGAGCTTTCGCCGGCCAACAAGAAAAACAATGATATGCTCCGACTTCCACTGCAGAAAAAGGAAAACACTATAGATATCATGAATACCCTAATGTACTCTTTATACCACCAACCCTGGACCCTGGCGCACACGCTTCGACAATTGTATAGTTTCCTGAGACAGCCGGCCCGGTGCCAAGACCTGCGCGGAAAAGCTACGGTTCGTCGCCCAAATTGTGGATTTTGACTGCATACAACCCGACCATCAATCAGATTTGCACGGGACGCCTGCACGACCCGAGACGATTGATCACTCAACTGCAACAGATACCTAGTATAAAACAATAGATTGGACGATTGGCAAAGATGTTACTTAACGAAAAGACCGGTAAGCAGCCGGGAAACATTCCGCCGATATGTTGGCCCCAGCCAAGGCTCCTAAAACCCGGATCTATATAGCCATTTCCACCTCCAAGGTGCTGCTTGTACCATATTCCAAGTGGCATGTCCCCAGATATCATGAATGGATGAAGGATGAGGTAAGATAGATTGTGTCATATACCTCCTTAACCACCCCCGTACTTGTTCTCGTTCGCTCCATCAATGGAAACCCCCAAATCATGGCAAGCATCTACAACTAATCCCGGACAAATGCTAGGAAATCCAAGAAGCCACGGCTTCTGAACCCCTCTCCCTAGAGGAGGAGTACTCCATGCAACAAAGCTGGCGCCAGGACCCGGACAAGCTGACCTTCATCGTCTGCCAACCTACCTCAACAACAACAACGAGCACCTCCGAGTCCGGAGGAGGCGAGGTCCAACTCGACGACGACCCCAGCCGCATGGTGGGGGACATCAACCTCTTCCTCCGCGTCGACGACGGCGAAGAAGGGGAGTCCGACCCGCAACTCGTCGGGGAGATCGAGCTCATGATCGCCGAGAAGCGCAACCAACGGCGGGGCTTCGGCAAGGCCGCGCTCCACACCTTCCTCCGGTACATCGTGGACCACGAGGCCGAAATCCTGGAGGAGTTTGTGGCGGGCGATGCCGCCGCGTCGCAGGCCCTGACGGTTGCTGCCGGGCTGCAACAGCGGCCGTGGAGGTTCGCGTGCCTGAGCGTGAAGATCGGGCAGGCCAATGCGCGGAGTCTGGCGCTGTTTGAGGGCGCCGCCGGGTTCCAGAGGGTCACGCCGGAGCCGAACTATTTTGGGGAGTTTGAGTTGCGGCGGTTGCGGGAGAGTTTGGAGCGCGCGGCGGTGGATGAGAGTCTTGATGAGGCTGGGGTTCGAGGGTATGCTGAGTTGGCGTATACGAGGGTCCAGTAAGGCTCTCTTCGGGCTGGCGTGAGCCTCATTGTGTCGGCCATCTACTTAGTATACTATCATTGGGCTTGGGCTTGGGCTTGGGCAAGAGCGGGCTGCTGCTTTGACGTTGGTCTACGGTCATACCCCAGGTCCGCGACGTTACATCTACAATCTGCACAGCTTCCTGCAGTGAGCCGGTGTTGCTATGCCAGACCAAACGACTGGTGAGTGACGACTGTATGCTGTGCGATCCTCGTCCATCCGCTCCATCGACAAAAGCAATAGCAATGACGATTGCCAACGAACACGGAATTCATTTCAGTCTTTTTCTTCTCTTTCTTTTCTTGTTTTTTTGTCTTGACAAACGCCGTAAGTATCCAGAAAGAGCCCCGCCGACCAACGAATACTGGCAACAGAAATCCAGCCATGTTTAGGAGTTCTACGACCGGCACGAGCTCGATATGCCAATTCATCATTGGCACAGCAGTTGCCGGCCAGGCGGGAGACAACTCGGTCCCCGCCGTGTACCCCACCCAAACAGAAGCTATTCCATGCAAGACGGAAACCCCATCAATCTTTCAATTATCAATCGACACAAGAATTCCATTCCTGTTTGCTTCGAAAAGAGGTGATATAAAAATTTCCATGCGCCGTTTGCGTCCGTTTTTCACATCCGAGCTCCACTTCTTCACCTTACTCTTGGCATGTCGAGGATCGTTTCCGACGAGAGGCGTTGCGTCGTGCGGTCAAGGGGGGGCTAAGTAGTTTATTTACAAAGCCTTCTTCTTCTCACCGTTGGTGACATCGACAACCTTGAGAGCTATTTGGTGGGAGGAGGAAAGGCCATTGACGTCAGCGGATGATGTCCCGAGGGAGGATGGTGGGTGGTCTTCCCAGGTTGGCGGGGAAGGGGGAAGGTAAATTCTGATCAAGAAGGTGAAGACGCACCAGGGGGAAGGCTCTGCTTGAGCTTGTCGGCCTTGTCGGAGTCCTTCAGGACAAGGGTGTAGACGTAGCGGGAGCAGCGGACCTTGAACTTGATCTGCTGGGTGTTGCGGTTGCGCTTGATGCGGGCAGCTGTAGGTCATGAAACGACGAGAGGGCGGATTGGATTAGCCTCAACTACATGAAATCGGGGTATATATTGTTATCAGGAATTGGGTTGGGGCCATCATGTTGGTGCTGGTCCCAAGGTGACGACTCTCCGCGGATGATCCCCCCGCCTTAAGTTGGAACCCCAAGCTTCCAGATCCGAGACCGGTCCAGGTGTGCCAACCTTCATTTTCGGGGGGATTGGAAGGGAGGGGAAGGGGGGAACGGGGAGGTTAAACGTACAAGACGCATCCTTGCGGCGGCAGATCTCAATGAACTGCTTGATGTCGGAGACTTCACGAGGCATGGTGGGCAGAGGGGGTGGGTATGTGATTGGTAAGTTCGGGAGGAGAGAGTGGGAGTGGTCGTTTGAAGCTGAGCTGGACTGGCGGGCACATGTACGTCCCGTCTCTTTCGCTCTAAGCTCGACAGGGTGGGCGGTGGGCGTGTCCTCCTCCTCGTTCTGCCCCCCCTCGGCCCGTAAGATTGACCGGCCTCTGTGTGGGATGTAGGGTTGCCGCCCCGGGAAGCCCTGAGGGTTGTCCTTTCCGTGCCACATCGTGGCGGAGCTTAGCTACATTAGTGAGCTTGAAGGGAGCTGACGTTGTTCCTGTGGCGGTGCAGAGCCTTCGGACTCCTGGCTAGACCTCCTCCCCGGCAGGCGGCCGCTTTACTTCAACCCCCCGTTGGTCTATAGTCTAAGTTACCACCCACATCGCAGCCTAGGGAAACTATATCGCTGGTCTACATGTAGCATATCTGGCCAGTTCCCTTAAGCCAGATATATATCCTAGCCAACCACTGCACATCGTGACTTCTGTATCCAAATCAACCTTACGTCAAAAATACATCCAACATGCCAACGCCGTTGGATCGTGCTTTGAACTCCAAGGTATACACACCTCAGATGTGAAGTCTATCATATTAGCTAACGTACAGGTTTCTCTAGAATCTCTTTCTTGGTATGGCCTTAGATGAAGCATGTGGTTGTTTCTTCGAATCAACATTCTAACTGTCTTTCAGGGTTCACTGGAATGGTGACAGCTGCGGCCGTCTGGGCTATTTGGGGGAGCGACATGTTCCCTGCGGAGCCAGACCCGACGGGAGGTACGGACCAGAGTCCTCGAGCTGTATCATCCATGCGTTGACCTCTTTTAGACCCGGAAACCTGGTCTCATGATGAAATGCGAAGATGGCTTCGAGCGGTAAGTCCGACCCCGCGGAATTTCCTTTGAACCTTGCGCTGCAGAGGGATAGACAGCCCGCTAATAATCAGATAGAGAGGACTTCTACCTCATGAGAGCGCAACGCGCGAAGAGCTGCTGGAACGCATAAGAGCCAATTTGCGCGTGCCGCGCAGAAGCCAAGCTTGATTTCCAAGACGGGTATGGTGTCAGGGCGAATTGCGGAATAGTGTTTTCTTTTGTCGGCATGTCATAGCGTTTCTAGGTTGGATGGTTTTTTCTTTTCCCTCGGTAAAGTTGAAACATATGTCGTTGAATGTCTTTCGTTGATTCGTAGCGCATTATTTGAAATGGTATTGTCAGAAGGCCAGCACTGAAGTATCGTCGTATGGTCGCGACCTATTTCGATGATCCGTCCGCGTCGCGATCGTACCTTCTATTGGTCCCCTCTTCTAAACCACCAGCCGGAAGTTCTGAGTCTGAATGAGCCATTCACGCCTGCGCTTTCCCTTCGGTCCATCGGCAGTGGGATTCGGGACTAGCACGAAGGTCTCGCTGAATCCGCGCTGCGGTAGATCCCTGGACTCGCCGAAGCGGACAAAGCCGCTGACGATCACGAGGATGGACATGTCCTTGATAGTGGTCTCTGTGGGGAGCTTGAAGCCCGTGGCGGTAGGTGTGGGGTAGGTGCGATTGATGATTTGGCAGTCGAATGACTGCACTTCGTAGTGGGTGGGAGTCATCTGGTTGACGAAAATCTCCTGGACGGCGGCGCCATCGGCGACAACGTTTCCGTTGAAAAGGATGGTCGACGCTTGTTGGCTGTAGAATGAGGAAATGGTGGCGCGATTGGACTGGAGGGCAGGATAAAAAGAATTCACAAATTCAGTTGCCGCTGTAGGTGAGACAAAGTTCCATCAGTAAGAGATCACTAGCTTTAGACGGGCAACTCCACGTACCCTCCGTGGAATGCTTGACCAGCGTGTCTTCGGATGCAGGGGCCATTGCGAGCTGTAGCAGCAGTTTCTTGCTATAATGATGAAGAGAAAAGATAGAGCGTGAGAGAGTGTCAGAGAGAGTGCGCGCGAGAAGAAGAGCGAGATGGTTGCGGAGGAAGGAAAGGCAAGGCCGAGCGGCAGAAAAAAGGCACGGAAGCTTGGACCACCTGCCCGGAGACGAGCTTCGGCGAAGTCGCAAGTCCGCAATCATTTCCACCTTCCTTTTCTCTCCAGATCTTCTCAACAATGGCAGTGCTGAGGGCTGGTACTTGTGCTCTGCCATGGGCAGGCCGGTTCCTGGCTTCCAGTCGGTCCTCCTGGAAACTTGCATCGTGTAAGACAGCGCTCACCGCGACAATTGCGCGTCCCCGTTGTTTCGCAACAGCGGCTTCCGAGCCTACTCCGGGGAAGCCGTACTATGTCACGACACCGATCTTCTATGTCAACGCCGGTAAGCTGATTGCAATTCTTCTTCGGAGCTGAGGGACACGTATAGCTAATGATTGGTTACTCCTAGCCCCTCATGTCGGCCATCTGTACACCATGGTCATTGCCGATGTCCTAAAGCGATGGCGAACATTGCTCGGCGAGACCGACGCTCAATTACTGACGGGAACCGATGAGCACGGAATGAAGGTATCCCAAGGCCTATTGATAGACGCATATCAACACCGAATGACAATGAAGATTGACTTGTCGTCATCATAGATCCAGCAGGCTGCTCTAGCCGAGGGAATGGAGACGCAAGCGTTGTGCGATCGGAACTACAAGAAGTTTGAGGTTGGTAGCTGTCAATCCTCGGCTAACTTGTCTCAATCATGCTGAGGTGAAATCAATCAGGACCTGGCGAAGGCTGCAGATTTGGATTACGACTACTTCATTCGGACGACGGAGCCTGCGCACAAGGAAGCGGTCCAATACTTCTGGGTATGACAAGCAATGCTTTACCTTTTGCTTTCACTAATAAACGTACAGGAAATGCTGCAACATAGGGGGCTCATCTATACTGCCAAGCACGAAGGATGGTACTCAGTCAGCGATGAGACCTTCTACCCCCAAACGCAAGTGCATAAATCACTTGATCCGGAGACGGGACATACAAGGATGGTGTGTCTATATCAAGCTTACATCGGACATGGAATTCCTAAGCTAACTTGAATCAGGTTTCGGTGGAAACAGGGAAGGAAGTGGAGTGGTCTTCAGAAACAAACTATCATTTCCGACTGTCGGCCTTCCAGGAACGCCTGCTGGATCTATACAAGACCGGTTTTATCACCCCAACGAACTATACAACCAATATCGTCAAGTCCGTTTCTGAAGGTCTTCAAGATCTGTCGATCTCCCGACCTTCAGAGCGTTTGACATGGGGAATTCCAGTACCCGGAGATGACACGCAAACCATCTATGTCTGGGTAGATGCGTTGGTCAACTACCTCACTAAGGCAGGCTATCCCTTCGCTCCGGGCCAAGGGGCTCGCCTCGGTTGGCCGGCGGATGTACATGTGGTTGGGAAAGATATCGTCCGGTACGAGTTAGTCCATTGCGCTGTGTAAGGCAACATAGCTAACCATATTGATAGCTTCCACTGTGTTTACTGGCCAGCCTTGCTTATGGCTCTCGATCTTCCGCTGCCTCGCAATGTCCTTGTTCATGGGCACTGGACCTTGAATCGAGAGAAAATGTCCAAGTCCACAGGCAATGTGGTAAATCCTTTCTTCGCGATCCACCGCTTTGGCGTCGACACGATGCGCTTCTTCCTCATTAACCAGGGTGAACTAGCGGGGGACGCAGATTATGATAACGCTTACATCATCCGCGATTATGAGAAGGTGTTGCGGAAGGGCCTCGGCAACCTCGCTACACGGACGATCGGGTGTGCAAAGAAGGAGTTCCGGACTTACATTGTCAATGGTGCAGAAGGAAGGCTTCCCTCGCCGACATCCGCCGATACGGACTATGAAGTGCAATTGAGAGAGCTACCCACGAAGGTTGCAAACCACATGAACAGCCTGAACCCGCGTGCAGCCCTGCAAGAAATCAGGGCTATAATCGAGTTGGTAAGGAGCCATACACACCTCTTCCTCTACCCCCTATTGGACCCTCGCACCGAACTGACGAATTCGACATCAGAGCAATAAGTACTTTCACAATACGGCACCCTGGCAGAACCCTGGGGAGACCCAGCGAGTCATCTACAATGTCGCCGAAACCATCCGGATGAGTGGTATTCTGCTGCAACCATTTATGCCGACCAAATCGAAGGAGATTCTGGACATGTTTCAGGTGCACCCGCAGAGGAGAAGCTTCGCGTCGGCCGAGTATGGGTCGGACCCATCCTACGGAGAAGATACTAAAAAGAAAGCCTTGTTTCCCCCGCTCCCTTTTCGATTTGATAACGAATAAGGCCCGCGACCCAATCACGACATCCAATCTGGAAGTAAGGCCGGTCAGCCCGGTGTGGCAGAAGAGGAGTAAAAGGCGGATCTCTGGGAGGGTCACGATCTCCGCTCCCAGCCAGTGCGGAAATTCCAGAGCGTTCCTTTCGACCCGGTCAGTCGCTTGATAAAGGTTCGCCAACGGGCGCCTTATCCCTGACCTATGCCCCATCTGCAAGGGAGGTTTATGTTATGTCATCGGTGGATGGCGACTGGAGCAAGGTTTCGTAATGTTTATCAGCGGGAAAATGGGCTTGGTGAGTGGTGGTTGCGCTCCGCCCAAGCCCTGGGGAGATATCGGTTCGGGAAACTCAGGGAGAGAGGGTTTCCCGCGGCAAACTGGGTTGGTGTGAGAGCCGACTATATCGGGAACCGTGCGTTGTATATCACATTCACTTGGGGGGGGTTCAGAGGGTTATATCATGAGGCGAAGTATATCAGGTTTGTAGGGTGAGTTTCTCTGATGGATTGTTTGTGAAACGAAACTCCAAAATATCTCAACCCATCTCTATCTATTCCTGGTTCTCTCCCCTCCTATCTTGTACATTATCGTTGCTATCCTTCACATACAATCAAATCATCTATACTAAATCTTCCATAATTCCACAAACAACGCACTTCCATTTCATCTTATCCTTCTGGTCCTAACAGACCGGGTCTCATCTCCCTCCTCACCCACCCCAAAGAAAACACACACAGCCTCTTTCTCTCTCCAAGAAAAGAACAAAACAACAACTATGGGCAGCATCTCCCTCTCCCAGGCGGATCCCACCACCACCACCGACAACCTCCCAACCTTCAAAACCCCCTGGCACCCGACCCCGCTCCTCGAATCGACCACCCTCTCCCGCGCCGCCGGGTGCCGGATCTTCCTGAAGCTGGAGAACCTGCAACCGAGCGGCTCCTTCAAGTCGCGCGCCATGGGCAACCAGATCCTGTCGCACCTCCGCAAGCCCGAGCACGCCCACCGCGCCGTGCACTTCTACGCCTCCTCCGGCGGCAACGCCGGGCTGGCCGCCGTCTGCGCCGCCCGCACCCTCGGCTACCCCTGCACCGTCGTGGTGCCCGTCTCGACCAAGCCCCTGATGGTGACGAAGCTGCGGCGCGCCGGGGCGGCGGACGTCATCCAGCACGGGGAGACGTTTGCCGAGGCCGGGTCGTACATGAAGGAGGTGGTGATGCAAACACAATCATCCCGAGGAGATGGGGAGGAGGATGTGGTGAAGATCGCGCTGCATCCGTTCGATAACGAGCCCATCTGGGAGGGCAATAGTACCATTGTCGATGAATTGGTGCAGCAGATCCCCCCGCCGGCGGGCCCGGAGGAGGAGGCCGTCCATGCCGGACGGGCGTTGCCGGTGGATGCGATTATCTGTAGTGTTGGCGGTGGCGGGTTGTTGAATGGGTTGGTGGCGGGGATTGAGCGGGAGCGGGCGCGGTCGTTTGCGGAGGATGGAGGTGAAGTGGTGAAGCCGGTGCATCTGCTGGCGGTCGAGACCAAGGGCACCGATTCCCTGGCCGCCGCGCTGCAGCACGAGGAGCTGGTCTCCCTGCCCAAGATCACCTCGCAGGCTACCTCGCTGGGCGCCGTCCGCGTCTCCGAACGCACGTTCCAGTATGCCGTGAAGCCGCCCCCGGGCGTGAGGGTGCATAGTGCCGTGTTGTCGGATGCGGAGGCGGCCAAGGGGGTGTTGCGGCTCGCGGATGAGGAGCGGATGTTGGTCGAGTTGGCGTGTGGTGTCTGTGTGGAGGCTGCTGTTGGTGGCGGTTCGTCGTCGTCGGCGGGCAAAAAGAGGAAGTATGTGGATGAAGGTTACGGGGATGATCGCCTGTCGGCCGGGGAGAATGACGACGAGGGCTTCTCGCCGGTGCACGCCCCTTCGCCACCTGCGGCGGCGTCGCTGTCGTCGAAGTTGAAACAGTTGGTCCCCGACTTGAATGAGGACAGCCGCGTGGTCATCGTTGTCTGTGGTGGCAGCAATGTCACCATTGATATGGCGGCGGAATGGCGGAAAATGCTGAGTGAGGGCTGGGCTTGACTGCGTTGGGATCTCGGGTTTTGTCATATACGGATAGATATGCTGCTTTCTTGTGGGTTCAGAACCTGGCTGCGCAGGCTTCGTCTTACGATATTTAATGAATTCATGATTGTTTTGAGATTCGATTTGGTGTATTTGCCTCTGTAGCAGGAGAACTAGAACCGGATGGAATCTGATGTCGGAATGGTATTTTCTTCTGTCACTTGTCAGGTAGGGAGTAATTCTGCAATGATGACGGTGTGGCAGGGGAACTGGGACAATCCCACGGCTTTGCATGCATGCACATTCTATAACCACACTGTCAGCATTTCACCAAAGTTCCGGACAATGGAAATATGTAATTTATGACAACGAGGCCTCTTTGACTTACCTTGCGTTAGTCCGGTGTCAAATGACATTTTGCTTGCTGTACGTGACGGCAACTGAACGTGCTATTGCCCAACTTTATCACGTCAAGCTGGATTTCCACATGCCCGCATGCTTTATCGCCGTGTCAACTCTGAAGATTCCTGCTTGGTCCTATATTCCTGTGCCTTGACATGCTATACAGGTGCATCACCGTGATTTTGACCCCCCTGGAGGTCCTCTTCTCCTTCCTCCTCGTCCTCCACGTCCTCCCATTCTGAATCCACCTCCCTTTCTCCCTCGAAAGGGTCAGTAAAGGCGACTATCCCTTCGTCTTCTTCCTCGTCTTCTAAGTCTTCGTCAAGCATAGTTATCAGTTCTACCAGAGCAGGTGAGACCGCTACACCATCAAGCGGTAGAGCAGCTTGATCAGAGCCCCACAAGCCTCTCCCGGTTACGGTCGAGTCGTCAGACTCGTTGGCATCTGGGTTCGAGTCGGGCGTATCACCGTCAATTTTGGGTGCTAGATTGAGTACACGAACAGCCTTGATGGGGAAGATGCGAGCGGGTCCTTGCTCTGGTGCTGGAGGTGTGGCTCCGGGGAGATGAGGAAGCGATTGACGCCATGCGATAGTCTTGTCCCAATGTTAGTCCTGCATATCCCAATTTCACAATTTAAAGGGATGTGACATACAGTGTAAGTAGTCATGATCGCATCATCGTACAGAGCCATGAAACTGACCGGTACATTGAGATGCACCACGGAGCTGGTGACTAGTGAGAACGACCCGCGGGCAGGACGATCTCCAACCTGTACTCTATCCTTGTCATCAAGCCCAACTACATATACCCGGTCTTGAATTTCGAACATCACGCGATGGTTACGCACTGACAACCACCCGCCCAGGTCAAAGCCCCGCCCATTGGAATCACATTCAATGAGATCACTGTGCGCCGCCATACTGACTGAACTTTTGAGTGCCTTGCGCCAATTGGAGCACACGAAAACACGGCCAGCACGGGAGAAGCCAGTGAAGAGGTCACCATCTAACATGCCAGCTCCCCATTCGTCATCCCTGTTGCGAATATGCTCAGGGTCATTCGGCGTTGGAAAGGGGCCCCGTTCAACCTTGATCGGGACCAGATGATCTTTGCGAGATACCCCCTCCCGGTACGATGAACGCGATGTGCCTTGACGCACAGCGTCTGCAAAGCCCGCAAACGCGGCTCTTGGGGAGGGGTGTGGGACCGTTGGCGGGCGAATGTGATACACCTCCGTACAAAGTGACGGCTGCAACTCACCCAGGAACTCTCCCGACTTCTTATCGTAGACATGATATCCTCTTGGACCCATGGAGTAGATTACGACATCCTGACTCTGGTCGAGGTGGCCCACAGCATCGTACTCAATGTCCAAGTGCGTAGTCAGCTGGGGAGGTCTCTGTGTCATGTCGTACACGAAACCCTGCCCCTCGGTCGAGACCACGCAGAGTGTTCCGTACGAGAGCTGGAAGCCTCGAGTTTGACAGTCATGATCCAATATGGCGATGCGCCGAAACTCGCCACGCTTGGCCCCTTCCAAGTCCGCCTGCCAGACCTCCAGTGCATCCCCCTCGCGATCAAAGACGGCCATGCCATCCTGATATTCCAGATGCGCGAAGGGGCGGACCGCATCCTCATCGCTATCCAGCGTCGAGGGAAGGTTCCATAGATTCAGGCCCGTGTCCATGTCCGTGACGTATAACCCGCCCGCATGGGATGTTGAGATGAAGATTCGACGCTTGAAGTCGGGACGGAACCGCCAGATAAATTCATTGCCGACCTGCAGCACCGACTCTCGCGCAGACGGTCGCGACTCGGCCCAATTGCGGGTGAGCTGCGCATGGCGCTTACACAATTCTTTACATGGTAGAGCACCTTCGAATAATTTGGAGAATGTGGTGTTGGTCAGCTGAGAGGAGCGACCGGAGGGTTGGTTATTCTTAAGCGCAGCGGCGTAGATGGCTTGTTGGTGTGTGACGTCGATAAATTGATGCCAGGCTCTGGATACCGCGGTAAGAGACGCTAGGGCGGATGCGGGAGTGAACTCTAGGATCCGTAAAACAACCTCTGGAGGGAAAACGCTGAGAGGATCTGCCAAATGTTCAAGTTCAGACATTCTCGGCTCAATGAGTGTTCTGTGAGGCAGGAAGTAGATGAGAAGTTGCAGAGAATGGGAGAAGAGGGGGGCCCTTGATACTGATGATTCTGTCTCGGCTCACCGCCCTCGATAAGAACCAAATGTCTTATCGCTCCATCGGAAATGCGGAAGAGTTGCGATGAAACCATGTATATACTTGAGTTTGATTGGATACATACAACGCTATTTTGGTTGACTGAGCTTAAATCAAACTTCACAATCATGCAGAAGTCGTCGCTTCCTGTCCTGCAATAGATCGAATCCGATAATCCCAATAATTCCTCCGGATGGGATCATACTTCTCCTTTAGCAATGTGAGCATCCGAACCGCCTTTTGGCCTGACGTTGGTTCCGTTTCCTCTGCCAGCACGTCAGCGAGCCATTCTATGGCATGACTGCTTTTCACCTCGAAGCCGTCGTGCTTTTCAGTCACAAACTTTCCAGCAAAGTCCTTCCACTCCGCTAGGGGTCGGCCCGCAGCGCGCAGAACACCCCTCGCGTAAGACCATGGACTGCGATTCTCGGGCGCCCGGACGATTTTGGACTGGGCGAACTTCAACTCAGCGTCGACTACGTCCTCATCAACCACTGCCAGCCGGCCCTTCTCCGAGGGAGGGCCGTCACCATTCGGCATCCCTGCATCGGGCTCTCCGTCACGAGGTCCAAAACGAAGCATAAAGCGGTGATTCCAGGCGGAATTGTTTCGGACATCCGAGGTCAACAAGGCTTCCACATCTTGGATCTCACGTGGAGCATCCCACAGCTTGAAATGTCGTACCAACCAATGGCGGTAGGTCCACACGTGGTAATTCTTGGAGTCTTGGGCAAACATTTCCATCAAGAAGTCTGCCTCCTTGTGTGGGGGCGTAGGGAAGAAGTCCTCGCGTGATACCAGAACTTGGCGATGGTGCCTGAGGGAATTAGATGGCTCAAGATACACAGGAGAAGTAGAGGGTAGCTGATCATACCAAATCTGATAGTTCTTCAGATACTTGAGCGATACACCGTTCAACCATTCTAGTTCATCCTGAAGGTCTTTCCCTAAGGCAAAAAGAATCTTTGCTCGGTAAATCCTGATGCTTGGTCAGCCTTGCTCTCGGTATTGCTTGGGGCTAGTCATGAGTAGAGTTCATATTAGCTTACCATACGGTATAGTGGGCGGGATTCATTGAGATGATGTCTTGAGTCAACTTCAATGCCCTTTCAGACATCTCGTTGGCGGCCATGACTGCGCGCAAATATGAGGTGGCTTCGAGGTATGCTTGGGGATAAGCAATGGTAGCCAGAGGCTGGGCACCGGATTCAGAGCCATCGTTGAGAGGGATGGGTTGAATTGAAGCCCATTCGGGGTCTGACGCGTATTTGCCCTCCATTTTTAATGTAGTGATATAGTCTAACTATGCTTGGGCTAGCAACACAGTCTTGGGGAAGGATGGACAGCTCCTGAGAGGCGAGACACAGCACGTCCCACAATTGACCGATTTTAGACGGTGTCAAAAGTTAAGTATGATTATGTTTTGACACGGCAAGATATGATCACGGATTCTTGCACTCGCAGCCTCAGAGACCGGGTTAGCTGCAAAGATGGGGTTCCGTGTCGGGTTTGGCAGAGCAAACGATGCAGTTAAATCGAGTCACGGGATTTTTGATCACCAAACACAGAATTTCTGTTCAGGCGATAGTATACACAAGTCTTCGAGCTCATGCACAGATGTGTTATGGAGATGATCGGTTCAAAAGTCGCTGCTTGCATTGAATTGGAGAGCTCTGAAATTGATAGATTGAATCGAAAGCGCACGTGTGTTTGGGGGGGGATGGATTGGAAGGTGGTGGGGTAAGTCGAAAGCCTGAGGCAGCCTTAAGACAATATCAAGGCAGCCATCTATTGTTCTCATTTGTCTCTCATTCTCTAAACCTTTCTTTCCTCTGCTTTCCTCCATGATTGTGATTCGGTCAGCATTAAGTCGCCCCAATTCAATTTTCATCGCCTTGGCCAGCTTTCCATGTGTCTTTTTGAGCTCACATCTCTTTATCATATTCAATGACCAGAACCCCGGCTACTTTGCCTCAAGTCCAGACCGCAGGATTTCCCAAAGAGGATAAAATTCCCCTACCGGCGTTGCGCCGCTGCTCCCCGCACATCCCCCCAAGACCCCCCCCCCCCCAGTCCGTCGTCACCTGCAACCGCAGCCAGCACACCCTTCCTTCTCGTTCGCCTCCTAACATGCCAATTCAATCACTAGCCTTATCCTTAACCTACCATGAGCCCGCTATTGATTGATAATGCGTCGCGTCAAGAAATCCCGTAATGGCTGTGCTAGGTGCAAGAGCAAACGGGTGAGTCGCCCTGCCTATCGGTGCTATCAATTTCGTTTCCATACCCACAGCCACGGAAGTCTAATGCTATCATCTTCTTTCTCCAGGTCAAATGTGGAGAAGAAAGGCCTCACTGCAATCGATGCACCCGCTTAGGAGTTCACTGCCCTGGATACGTCCAGTCGCTACGATGGGTAACCAAATACCCAGACCGCAACCCTGATACGGCCCATGAGACGACTTCCGATGAAACTGCAGCTGAGCCAAGCGCTCAACCCGATTCTCGACCTCCGGATAACTCGGGTTCCCCCGAGAATATCGACCCCCAGACTCAGCCTTCATTAACCGCTAACGATGGCTCTTTCAATCTCACATCTCCTGACGCCCAGGTCGAGTCGAGCACGCTGGCACTGGGCGGCCCGCACGCTTTATGCGATGGCCTGTGGGATTTACAACAATCCGGTACACTTCCCGAGCTCGCGGATCTATGCAACCAGACTCCAACTTCTGCGTCGGGGCCAACTCCAGCGCCTCAAGACGGCTCGATCTTCAATTTCGGGTCACCCAACCACGCCGACGATCCATTTGGTCTATCTTCCTTAGCAGCGCCTATACTGCAGGATGAGCCTCGCAGCTTCTCTGGATTCTCGCCATCTACCATCGTACGCCATTATCCACCTCCCAACTCGAAAATACCGCAACGAGACTTCACCTCGATTTCACAGCCTCTAAATAATCCATCATGGACCCTCATCGAATACTATTTCAAAGAAGTGGCGGCATTGTTCTCGAGCTATGACAGCCAAATGAACCCCTTCCGATCAACAGTGTCTCGGCTCTGGGGCTCATCCCTCGCCATGTGTCGGACCATGCAGAGCATGGCAGCGGCCACTCTCGTGAACGACTTCCCCGAGTTCGGACCGTTGGGCCGAAAGATGCGCAACGAGGCCGTGGACATCATCAGCAAAGAATCGAATCTGGACGACAAGTCCCTGCTAGCACTCCTCATGCTGGGCCAAACGGCAAGCTGGCACGATTCCAAAGATCTCGGCATCTCGTTCTTCAATCTACTACGGAACCACCTCGATACAAGACCCGAGAAGAGCCCAACAACAGGCCGCGGCAACAACCATCAATTCTTCGAAGAGGCCTTGATCTACTGGGAAATGCTCCTGTCCTTTGTGGCCGACGATTCCGCTGTCCTGTCCGGGGCCACGGCCGCAGGGCCCGAGGAATCCCTCGTCCTACAGCGCGTGCCGCACCCGTGGACGGGGATTGCGCGTGACACCCAATTCACCGTCCAAGAGGTGGGACGGCTGGTGCGCCGCGAGAGAAGGCGGATGCGCTGCCGCACCTTCACGTCCCACGCCGACGTCGCACAGGCGCAGCAGGCCATCGAACGAGCAGAGGAACTCGAAGAACGACTGTTGGGACTCGCGCACCCAGCGGAGGCCGAGATCATCAGCCCCGGCGACGACGAGACCCCCGTGTGGCATCTCCTCACCATGGCCGAGGTCTACCGCTGGGTGGGGTTAATGCAGCTATACCGCGTCTTCCCCGATCTGCTGCGTCGACGATTACGTCCGCAGCGGGCCTCGGGCAGCAGCCCCACCAGCGCCGAGGATGCGTCGTCCATGGCCATGAACAACCGCGATCCCTTCCTGTCCCCCGCCTTCGGCAGCTCGCAGCACTGGTTCTGCGACCCTGCCCTTCTGCATCCCAGCCCGGAAGCCCCCACCACGGCGCCGCCGTTCGAGCCCATGCCCGCGCCCGCGTCGGCTTCCCAGTACGACACCTGGCTGACCGAACTCGCCCTCACCACCCTCTCGCGGCTGAAGACCATCCCGCTCGAGTCCCGCACCCGGTGCCTGCAGCCATTCCTCCTGGTCGCCTCGAGCAGCGAGCTCCGGCTCCCTCGACTGCCGCCCCTCGAAACCGACCTCGACAGCACCGGTCCGAATATCTCGGCCCACGCCATCGATGTCTCCCAGACGCGTCGGTTCATTCTCGGCCGGCTCACCTCCTTCATGCATGTCCTGCCCCCGAAGCCCATCGGCGTCTGTCTGGAACTGGTACGCGAGGTCTGGCGGCGGATGGACGCCGGCGAACCGGAGGTGTATTGGATGGACGTCATGATGGAAAAGGGGTGGGAGACGACGATGGGCTGACCTCAACTTACAAAAAAAAGGGAACACTTTGACGCAAGAACATGTACATATATACTTATGAGAATGAATGCTGGATACCCGGCTTATTGTATGAATTGGATGAACTGCACTTTGCATGACAATCTCCGCGTAACAAATATATCAGACAGGGTAACTTCTGTCTGCAAGGGTGACTATTTTCCCACATGGATGGTATCGACATTGGACTCCCGACAATTGACCTAGAACTCACATTGGACCAGCGTTTCAAATACCTCGATCGCGTATTGCCCCTCCTCACTCCAACCAACACCTCGACTAACAAGATTTGATAACAAGGAAGAGAAAAAAGGTGGTTTGGAAAAGCCCGAAAAGAAAGGCAGAATGTGAGGGAGAAGAAAGCAGAATGGAAAAAAAGATCATGGAGTTAAAGTGGAATAATCCAAGCAAGAGGCACGCATGCCCAAGTGAAGTCCCAGGTGAATTATGATACACAGAAATGAATAGGCTGATGAAGTTGAATGAAAAAAGAAGAAAGGAAAAGCATCAAGTGCTCCAGATGGGGTGATTAAACGTAGGTAGATAAGATGCAATCATATAATGCTCAGTCCCCTGTTCAGGGAGTAAGTGGTCATGAGAAACTCAAACAGAGATAAGTGGCGAGATGAGGAGTTCGCAAGCGATGCAGGAGAAGAGGAATACCAGGCCTGTTCATACCGCCCGTCTCCAGAACTTCCAGCCTTCGCGTTTTTCCTGAACGCCGACACCTACGAGTCTTTCGATGCCGACGGGGCCATCGGCGTTCTCGAACTTTTGCTGGTCAATTTCCTCACCACCCTCCTCATCGGTGCCGTTGCGCAGAACTGCCGGCCAAAGGACACCGACACCGTCACCGCCCAGAGTGGTCTCGTATTTCGTGAAGTTCTCAGCGGTAAGCTTCTGCTCGAGCTGTCGTAGAGACTCTTCACTGGCGTCCGGGCGAAGAAGGGAGATTGCACATCCACCTCCACCGGCACCAGTTAACTTGGACCATCCGATGTCGGTATAGTCAACCATCTCGCGAATTCGCTCCAGTCGCGGATGCGACACTCCTAACGACACAAGCAACCCATGGTTGATACGGAGCAAGGAACCGAAACTCTCAAGCTCCTTCTGGTCGAGAGGCCTGCCGTCCGTATTCTTGATGGCATCTTTGGCAGACACAGTCACCTTCTCAATCGCGTCCAGCATCGATTCGGTCACCAGGGGATGCTCCTCTTTGAGCTTGCCCACCTTAGCAACCTCAACCGCGGTGGAGCGGGCCTGTCGTGTGTCTATCAACCAGAGGGGCAATTCGGGGAAGTTGGGTACCGGAACCACCGTGGGCGGCTTGGTGTAATCTTCGCGCCGGAAGAACACAGCCTTACCGCCTGCGGAGACCGTATTGTCCACTCCACTCGGGTTTCCATGCATACACATTTCTCCGACGAAAGCCCATCTGTTGATGCGCTCGATCTGAAGCTCCGCCTCGTCTGGGGGTTGGTCGGGGTGGGGGCCAGCTAGTGTGCGGATTTGAAGTAGCAGGGCCGTACTCATACAGACGCAAATACTAGCACTGCTACCAAGTCCAGCTCCAATGGGAATGGTGGAGCGCAGGGTGTAGATAGCGCCATGACTCTGGGGAGAGCCAAGGGAGCAAAAGAGGTATAGGAACGCTAGGGCAGAGCGACTGTGAATTTTCCGTAGATCCTCCGGCGCATGGGGCGATACGTCTTGAACGTGGGGTATGAGTGCGTCGTACAACTCGGTGTCGAGAGATGTGACTAGGTCGTAATAGTACTTCTTCTTGGAGGGCTGCTTGAAGAGGTCCCATGGTAGCTCATCGATGTTCCAGGTATGATCGAACTTGATGTCTCGGAAATTTAAGGTAATAGTGCGCTGCGACTTGGACAGGGTGGTGACGAGGAAGTAGGAGCGGAGGGAGATGGCAGCAGCCATGGCTGCCTTGCCGTGTACCACGGCATGTTCCCCAAAGACGATGACCTTGCCGGGCGCGGACACCATGAACGGCGGGGCCATGGGAGATGATGCTTTTCGGGCCATAGCTTTCTTGAGTGAACCAGCTTCAATAGTAAGAGACGTCGCAGAGAGACTGGCGGTAGTTATGTTGGTGGTGTTGGTGGAAGTCGTGGAGGCGGCGTCGGAGGTGTCGGGGCTATCATCGCAGACGGTAACCGTCTTTGCACGAGGGGGGAGGGAAGGATCGGATATAATGTGTGACATTGTGCGACGTTGACCGCTCTTGGACGCTCTGAGACTACCAGGCTTGCGACGACCGCGACCGTTGTGCATTCCTGGTGGAATTGACTTATAAAGGGTGGTGGTATAAGTGTGGAGGGAGGGAGGGGGAGTTTAAGGCGGGTGGAGATGTAAGGGGAAAGTAGCAGAGAGAAGGCGCGAACGAATGTCGAGGTTGGCAAAGACAAAGTCAAGGGGTAAAGGAAAGAGAGACTAGATGTTGAATCGAGTAAAAAGCATCGCGCTTTTTGAAAGAAAACTTGCGAACAAGAAGAAGAAGAAGAAGAAGAAAAAAAGAATTAGAGATAGAGAAGAAGGAATTGGGAGAGAAAGACAGAAAAGGGGAGTTCAGCTGAAGTGAGTTGAGATTCGCAACTGCCAACTGCCAGACTACTATTGATTGGGGTTTCTACTACTAGGGAAAAGGCCTGGGCTAGGTAGCCTGAGGTGTCCACCACGGCCACGGCCATCATCTCATCCACCTCCATTCCACCAATCATACAGACAGTATTTCCCATTACTCACCGGCGGTCCTTGTTTGTCCGCACCGTGATAGGCAACCCAATTTACAATTGAACTTGGAACAAACAATCACTCACCTGGCATTCTTTGACCCCGGCGGTCATGGAGCCAGACATTGTTCAAGCCCCGGGGGTCATGTTAATAAAGACTGGATTCTACACGGTAGCTGTGAGTCTGCCTGTCGCTTCCCTGCTGTCGCCTGAGTTGTTTTGTTGCAGGATTATTGAGGCTGACACCAGTCAGCATCAAGCATCAGCTGCAGCTCGGACCACTTAGCTATGCTTTTTCTATACTTCTAGAACCATTGGGGCCCTCTTCCCCCAATGGTCTCTACCTTCGCTTGTTTGAGTATGTTCTATGGCTTAGTCTATGCGCATAAAGCAGGATGGTGAGTGTCACTACTAGGTACATACAGTACACATCATCTATCCTACAAGCATTGCAGTTGAGCCCCCAACCGTGCCCGAAACTAGGAGTAACATGACGGCATGTGGAGTAAGCTTAATCAAAAATCCTATGAGTAATAACAAGATGGCTACACCACGATGAATAAACATTCTGGGCCCTCCATCCGGGGTTGGTGTAACCATGCATCCTCCATTGCGGCCGACAGCTTCAGCGACTTCGACTAAAGCACTGACTCATTCTGGTCTCGAGGTTCTTTCAGTCCACGCTTTCTCTCTCTCGCATTGCATAACAAAAATCATAAGGCTGGTTGAAGCATACCTCCAGCGCCCGCATCAGAGTGGCGGTCGTCAATGCAGTATCCTTGGCAGCATCGCCTATCATAGTCGCAGTTGCCCCGTTGATAGAAGCGATAGCCATCTCGACAACGATGGCAACGTCCACTCCGACCGTAGTCTCGAATTTCGTAGCAGCGATCGCGTTGGCCAGCCACGGCGGTCAACATGCTGCAGCCGACAAGAAAGAACAGCCAAGAGCTGAGTTGCATGGTGATTAAGGCGTTTTCGTTGTGATAAAGCTTGATGATCTGGAGAGAAGGAGGACTGTTGGTAGACTCCCTCCTGATGGGTGATTGCAGTCCAGCTTAAATACCCTCGAGCTGCTGCCATGATGCCCTCGCAGAACATCGTCTGTCCAAGTGCTACAGACCTTCAGCCGCAATGCAGATTGCAATCGGAATGTTTTTGGAAGTCAATCCCCCACTCGGACATTTACCTACGCAACACAAAGAACCAGACATCGCAGCCAGCTGACCGAAAAGCTCCCCTCCTGTACAAAGTCCTCCATGCTTGTAGAACACAATACTGCAACGGTGGCTACATCTTCATGGACTGGTTGGCAGTAGAGTTGATGTTCGAGTCGACGGAGCAGCTATGAGCATCCTCTTCGGCCGACAGGTCGACCATCTCGATTGTTCGTGTCTCACTTCTCGGAGGGTACGTCTTTTTTATATCGCAATCCCCTCATCTTGGCGGTGACTTTATTGTCTGCGGATGCTACTGCAGCCAGTGAGCATCATCATGGCGTTGTCCTGAAAAGAAATCACCACCTAGTATTTTCTGCTAGTCTATACTTGACGACTTCCAAGTATCGTTGGTGCTTTTTTTCATCCACTTTACCCGAGGTGATCTGACACATGTCAGACTGGCTCTTCCACCTTCACATTATTATGCAGGATGGCATCATTCAGCGGGATAACAGAGCAGACCCCGTACGGAGATGAGAGAACAGCTGGAGTTCTGCCGACTGACGATGACCGGCTGGAAAGTGCAGATTATGAGCATCGATGCGAACGAAGTCGCTGGACTTACGCAGAAGCGCGCAGCAACTACCATCCACTACATCAATGTTTTGTCTCTGACGAGTTCGTCACAGCCGCTTCGCCGATAGAAAACCGAGGAGGTGGCGACGGATTCTCTGAACTTGCTGTCCGGTGATCTCGGTGACTATTTGGATGACAATCAGAATGCTGCATGGGATGAGCACTATGCCCTCACAGCTAGTGCCAGGCCGAGATCTTGAACCTTATCGCTTAGTCTTCATCATTTCCTGATGTGGTTATTGCAGGACAATACCAGGTTGGTGGGTCCTCGACGTTCAGAGCATAAGCACTTCAGCAACCTGTTCCAGTCATACCTGGCCTCTTGTTGGCATGCTATACAACCTCTTTCCTAAGCTGGAGAGATTGTCCGACTAGCCTGAATGGAGTCGATCTGGCTTGCTGAGGACGTGGAGGGATAATTCACGCACGGTGTGGGCTGGATCAAAGCAACCATGGGCATTGCGCGAGCCAGTCAAGAAGTATATCGAATGCATTGCAGGCTCGAAGGTCTTGGCTAATTTTTGCAGTCTATATTCGTAGGATGAATCGAGGTTTTAGTCAAGCGTCCAGAGGCTCTATGCAAGCCACAAACCTTGATTCAAAACTGGGCAGCGCAGCAGCAGGTGGCACTTCGGCAGCTCTGCCGCCAGTCGAAAATAGCAGATCGACGACATTTAGCAGACAGCCGGGTTGAAGAACAGTACGTCAGAAGTGGAGATGATTGGCCTTGTGGCTGCAAATCTTGAAGCAAATGTTTTGCCCAAATTGCCAGGTGTTTTGCAGGTCTTTCCTTCACCGGAACAGTGCATGGATTTAGCTTCGTCTGATGCAGGAAATATGGTTCGCTACCGCCCGGACTGTTGACACTCTATACTTGTCCCATGACTTCGAACTTCATCCCTTTCTTGACGACTCCACAACGTGCGCTATAGCCATCATGGATGAATTCATAGTTCGCCAGCCTGGAAGTGTTGTCAAGGTGGAATTCTTGGGATTAATGCTACTCTGGCAGCGATGAAATGACCTGCGCACTCGATCTATAAAGCGAGGCTTGTTCTCCAGCTGATACAACCTTCTGAGGATAACATCCAAATAAGATAATCCAAATAAGACCACAGCTTTTCTCACTATTTGACTCTCTCAATCAACAAAGACTATCAAGAATTAGAACTTACGATCAAGATGACCCGAATCCCGAACGCTGTCACTCTGCTCGGCGCAGGCACACAAGGCTCACGCCTGGCCTATATGGTATGCCGCATCAAAATCACCATGATTCCAGTCCGTGCTAAGAATGAATACTTTCAGTGGTCTCGGCTAGGAAGACCAGTGTATATCGTGGACAAGAACTCGAATCAGCTGTCCCAAGCATCAAGCACCATCGAGAAGCTGCGCCGCAAAGAGTCATCACCTAGTGAACACGGCCCAATCATCGAGCTAATCGCCGCTGATCTGGACAAGGCGCTCCGTGAATCCTGGCTGGTTATCGAGGTATGTATCCTCGTCAAAAGCAGAAACGCCTGGCTGTGGTACCAGCTCTAAATCTTCACCAGTGTGTCCCGGAGAATCTAGATTGCAAACGATCCATCATCAAGCAGCTCGACAACCAAGCCGATCCAGATATTATCATCGCGTCCAACTCCAGCAGCTACTCGATCACGGAGGTCTGCGACGGTCTGGAGTTCAACGCCGATGACCGATTCGTGAACCTGCACTCCTGTTAGTTTCCCTTGCTCCAACCTCCCAACCCATTCAAACAATCGAACTAACACAACACACCCACTCAGTCTGGCCACCAGAAACACGAGGTATGAGGCCTCCCCTCCCCCTCCCTTTACAGCAACACCTCTCCACAACAGCAAATTGATTCAGACCCCACAACAGTCCTCGAAATCATGGGCACCGACAAAACCCGCCCCGAGATCATCCCGCGCCTCATGGACGAGTCCCGCGAGCATGGCTTCCAGCCCTTCCACGTCCGCAAGTCCTCCACCGGATACATTTTCAACCGGTACCTAGCCAAACCCTATCGTCGCGAGCTATGACACATGCTAATCTCACGACTGGGAATATAGGATCTGGGCCGCGATTAAGCGAGAGACTCTGATGGTGCTGGAGGAAGGCATCGCCACCCCGGAAGAAGTCGACCAGATGTACAAGGCCGTCCTGCACACTCCCAAGGGCCCCTGCGAGCAGATGGATGTGGCCGGGCTGGACGTGATCCTGGCGATCGAGGAGCATTACGCCGAGGTCCGTTCGGGCATCCCCGACGGACCGCGCAAGTATCTGCGGGAGATTGTGGACCGGGGGAATCTTGGGGTGAAAACTGGTGCTGGGTTTTTTGATTATAATGAGTAAGGAGATCGTGACAGTGTGGGTGCTTATATTTCTGTACACTGTTGTGTGAAGTTACTTGGCTTGAGTCTGGTTTATGTGATTCGTGAGTATTATCAGTTATCCTGGGACGGCATGTAAAGTTTTTCGGGCTACGAAGTATGGGCATCTTGGCTGGTTGACTAAACATTTTCCTCTGGTTGTTTTCCTGGCATATACTACATCTACAGCATTTGTCGTTTTTTATCTGGGGACTCCTCAGACTTTTGGAGGGGAGGGGGGCAGCCCTTGTTCGTATTGCTTGGTTGTATATAAGGGTTGTTTACAGTTGCAAAATGAATCGCGACAATCACTGTGTCATAGAAAGTTCACCAAGGACACCATTGCATCAGACGCGCTTACCCCTTGAGATGTCCTTTTGCAAGATAATTTTTCGAAACAAACGGAAGTATAGAAGGTTATATTTGAACAATTTAGCTATTATCCTACTCTCAGTTACATGGAAAATAATAGTCATAAAAAGAATATACACATAAGCCTCCCATTGCTCATGACAGGCATAGGAGGCAGTATGTCTAGGTCAGTAGATTTCGAGTGGCTGGTATCTTCAGTGCTGATACAGATATAAATATACATCAATGAGCTGCTATATTATACACGTGTCTGCCCTTGTAATTTATCCATCTTCTCTTCTCTTTGCTTCTTCATTGAGTTCTTTTCTTCTCTTTCTTTTTCTTTTTGCTGCCTCGTTTTTCTCGGCGACTTCTTCAACATCAATACAAGAAACATCACAGGTTCATCGTTACAGTCATACTGTTACTGTGCACAAGCAGACAAGGCGGCAAACCCTGCCAGAAGATTTCCAGATCGCTCAGGTACGAAGCACTCGCCGCCTCATTCTGCGCTGTTCCCTCGGACGGCGATGGCAGTGTCGTGAAGACCACCGCCGTGTCTTCGCTATGTCTCACCATTAGCTCGTTCAGAATCAGGTGCTGCGCCCGGCTGGGTAGATCGTTGAACGAAAAGGGCACAGACGCCTGCTGCGGGTACCCAGATGCGGCTGCCGCTCGCGCTGCGAACACAGACGAGGGCCCGGAGGATGAACGGCGGGTGTAGATGGATTCGATCCGGGGGTGAGAGGCGGAGCGCGGCGGGGAGGAGCTGGCGGCGAACATGATGGACGGGCCAGCGCCTTCTTCTTCGGTGTTGACGCGGGCTTCAGGAATGGGGGAGGAGCTGAAGCGGTTGCTGGACGGTGAGCGGGAGGGTTTCG